ACTGACACCAATGATGGGGCACTATTCCTCCCACCGACTAATGATGGGGCACTATTCCTCCCACTGACTAATGATGGGGCACTATTCCTCACACACTGACACTAATGATGGGGCACCATCATTGGTGTCAGTGGGAGGAATAGTGTCCCATCATTGGTATCAGTGGGAGGAATAGTGCCCCATCATTGGTGTCAGTGGATGAAATAGTGCCCCATCATTGGTGTCAATGGGAGGAGTAGTGCCTCATCATTGGTGTCAGTGGGAGGAATAGCACCCCATCATTGGAATACCAAACTGAAATACCATACCATATTGAAATCAAATCTGATGTTTTTTCATTTTTATTTGGTGTGCGTTGGAAGAGGGGTAGTCTTATACAGCGAGTATAGCTCAAACCCTATATTTTAACAGGAAAAGTAGGGGGTCGTCTTATACGCCCAGTCGTCTTATACGCCGGAAAATACGGTATTTGACCTCTGGTGCAAGACTTCTTTAATGATGGATCAAGGATGAGCTTCACAGAGACCCAACTGAGGGTGAGTTCCAAGCTTTGGCATAAAGCTCTGGTGTGAAATATTTGACAAGACAGAATGATTGTATGTTTAGCCTTAATGAAGGACCCTTTCCATCTTCCTGCCATCTGATTTCTTTATCCATTTACCTTTATGTAACTTGTATTTACATATATCCCCACTTGTAATTAGACTCTATGCATATGCAATTGTAAATAAACTCAACCTTTATTTTAAGATCCACTTGTCCCTAATTAAAAGGCACCTAAAAAAGCACATTCTACAAGACCCAACTGGAGAATGTCCAGGATATATACCATAGAGTACCATATAGGAACTTTCTACTTTTGCAAAGTGAGCTTGTGATTGTGGACCTTTGCAAGAAGTGGACTTCCCAGCTCAGGGATGTGTAACAATGACCAAAATCAGATAAACCTGTTTCTCATGACCTGGTTTTCAACAACTAAGCCAGTAAAGCCAGAGATCAAGAAGCAGAATGGAAAATTGGTCAATGAGACAGAAGTTCTGGGCAGTCTTGAAGCAGGCACAGAGAATATGCAAGGAGCCTGAATATATCCAAATACCACACACTTGTCTGTGCTCTGCCGTGGCATTGTCTGACTGAAACTTTGTCTGGAGCTGATGTTTAAAGGACAGGCAAATAGCCTTCAAGTGGTTGTAAAGACAGAAGGTCTTATACCTTCATGCATTCTAGGGCTTCTTTTGCGTTGAAAGGCCCTGCATGCAGCCTGCTTTGCTGGATGTAAATTTATTGTATGATCCAGACATATAGCCCTTAACCCTGGCTCCATTCTCACAGATCCTTCTATACTGCAATGTTTAGAATTCCTATTTACAACTTTGGGGTTTGTTTGGACAGTAAAGGGGACACCCTGCTGCAAGTCCTGGACTCCCAAGCTAGCCAAGTCAGGCTCCAAGGCCCTGTGCAGTGATGGGGCACTACAACTTCTCCAATTAGAGGAATGTCTCTCAGACTTCACTGCTGCCTGGTTCTGGGTTGTCATCTCCAGAGGGTACAAACTAGGATTTTGCAGAGGAAAGTTTCATGGTTTCTACTCCAACATATTAATGGTTCTGATGGCCATGGGTGGCATTATAGTTTTGAAGTCCCTAAATGTCTTCCTCCAGGTTACATAGTCCAATGACTGACCTGGCTGACTATGTCTAGATCACACTGCAAATTTCTATGGAGCAAAGCAGGCTGCATGGCAGGGCCTTTCAGCGCAAACAAAGCCTTAAGAAAAGACAAGTGTATCTTATCTACAAAGTCTTTAAATACCAGAATATCTTCTACTGGGACCATCAAGTACTTGTTAAGGAAGGCAATAATAAGATAAAACTCTGCACAAAAAAGAGGTAGAAGACAGGTGTACACAAGCAATGATATAAATTAAATGAGATTAAAAACACTGCCAAATGGAGTCCATATATATTGTGTGTGTATTGAGCCTTAATATACTTGGGGATTTAACAGCAGCTGCCATCCTGCAGAGTGAGCCAGCAAGGGAGAGAGGGAAGGAGGCACCACAAGGTGCAGTGTAGTAAAAAAAAAAAACAAAAAAAAAAAAAACACCACTTTAATAACAAACAGTAGAATGCACTCACAGGAGTAAAGGTACCGCATAGCTGCTTATCCGGAAGGGGGGGGTGTCTCTCTTCTCCATCAGACTTTTTCCACTGGCTGTTCCCTACGGGATGGAGAGGAGAGACCCCCTCGTTCGGATATGCAGATATGCTTTACCTTTATTTACACCTGTGAGTGCATTTCTACTGTTTTGTCATTAAAGTTTTTTTTACCATACTGCACTTAGTGGCGCCTCCTTCCCTCTCTCCCTAAAGAAGGCAATAGCAGTATTCAGACAGTGCTGTCCACATTTTACAATACCCCTCCTTTATCTAGTACTGCTGAGCAACTTGTTCAGGATGCAGCCAACCACCCATTTTCCTCCCCCGTAAGCATGGCCAAACAGTAACTGATTTAGGGGGAGAAAAAGAAAGGAGGGCCTTTTCTGGCCCCTGCGGCTCGACGTTTCCCACAAGGTAGTGATTAATCTTAAACTCCACCATAGTGGTGAACAACTACTCCTTGCTTAGGCAGGAGGAGTGGAGGGAGCACTCAAGGGGACTGAGAAGGAATCTGAGGAAGGAAGGGACACAGATGAGGGACAAATAACCATGCTAAGATAAAGTCCTGAAGGGACATATATAGAGCCCCCTGACCACTGGTAGAACGTGTGCTGGAAAGCCCTTTTGCCCTATTCCTTTTTCGTTTATGTTTGGCCACATAGTAGTGAGTTAGACATATTTAGGGTATTCACAACCAGCTGCAGTTTTTTAAGGGAAAGAAGTGGAATGTTATGCAATGGCCAAGTCAATCACCTGACCTGAATCTGATTGAGCATGCATTTCACTTGCTGAAGACAAAACGGAAGGCAAAATGCCCCAAGAACAAGCAGGAACTGAAGACAGTTGCAGTAGAGGCCTGGCAGAGCATCACCAGGGATGAAACCCAGCGTCTGGTGATGTCTATGTGTTCCAGACTTCAGGCTGTAATTGACTGCAAAGGATTTGCAACCAAGTATTAAAAAGTGAAAGTTTGATTTATGATTATTATTCTGTCCCATTACTTTTGGTCCCTTAACAAGTGGGAGGCACATATGCAAACTGTTGTAATTCCTACACCGTTCACCTGATTTAAATGTAAATACCCTCAAATTAAAGCTGACAGTCTGCAGTTAAAGCATATCTTGTTCGTTTCATTTCAAATCCATTGTGGTGGTGCATAGAGCCAAAAATGTTAGAATTGTGTCGATGTCCCAATATTTATGGACCTGACTGTATGTAGCAGAATACATTTGGCTTACATTTGTGTAGAAAGATTATTTGGAAAATGTTATAACAAATAACATTTTTTTTTCAAAATGTTCAGTACAAACTTTAAAAAAAAAAAACCCAGTGGTGATTAAATATCACCATTAGAAGTCTCTATTTGTGTGAAAAAAATTATGCAAATTTCATATAGGTACAGTGTTGCATGACTGCACAATTCTCATTTAAAGTGCAACAGCGTTGAAAGGTGAAAATTGGCGTGGGTAGAAAGGGGGTAAAAGTGCCCTGCAGGCAAGTGGTTAACGTAGAACTTTAGTTAGAAAATTAAGTCCTGCTAGATCATTTCAGGCTGACCCCATTTGCAGGTATAGCTAGGTAATACAATAACCTCTTCCCATCCGGCCCATGTAGATAAACAGCCGGATGGGAGCGCTGCCGATGCGGGTGGACGTTTTTAAACGTCCCCCCGCATCCATTGCGCTGTATGGGACCTCTGTGTGAGGTCCCGATTCATGTGATCACTGATTGGCCAATCAGTGATCACATGAATAGTAGTAAACAAGATGTCACTTCCTGACATCATTGCTTACTACTTGCGAAATCTGTGAAGAGATCACAGAGGTCACATGGTACAAGGCTATTCACAACAGCCTTGTACCATGTGACAAGCTGTGACCAATCACAGCTCTCACAGTATTTCTCAATGGCTGCAGGAATGCAGCCAGAGAGAAGGAGAAATGATTGCTTTTACAGCCTTTATGGGTGTAAAAGCAATCAGTGTAAAAAAAAAGAAAAAAAAAAATCTTCATCACCCCCCACAAGTGTCACAATGGTGACACTATGTTAAAAAAAAAAACAAAAAAACACATTTTTGGTTATAAACTAGTTTGGGTAATTTTTTTTTTTACTAAAAAGATAGATGAATACATTTTGGCCAAGATTTATGAAGAAAGATTATTTGCAAAATTTTATTAGAAAAACTTTTTTTTCCAAAGTTTTTGGACTTTTTCATTTATATAGCAAAAAAAAAAAATAAAAATCCCAGTGGTGAATAAATACCTCCAAAATAAAGTTTTATCTGTCTCAAAAAAATGCTAAAAAATTCACATGGATACAGTGTTGCATGACCGCGCAATTGTCATTCCAAGTGTGACAGCACTGAAAGCTGAAAATTGGCCTGGACTGGAAGGGGGTGAAAGTGTCTGGATTTGAAGTGGTTAAAAATAAGTGCCTTTGCTGTTTAAAATCCAGTATTAGAAGGTCTCACCCTGCTCTGCACATGCTTAGTTGCTTTCTGTTTTTAGGCACGGAGCCAAAATTCTAGACGCCGATCTGCTGATATCCTAAAAATGTAATGCTGCTCAGAGGCTCTGACAAGAAGAAACAGGATCAGCACACACTAATTTTGGTAGTAAAATTATTAATCTGGAATGAATTTTTCTTGCTAAAGAACATTATTTGTTATCAAGTTGTTATGGGTAAAGTTCCACTTTAATTCAGATTCCTTGTTGCCATGCTTCCTTGGATTGGGGGCTAAAACACCCAGCAACTATGTGTCTATTTGTGTGCAAAGAGGAATACACAGTAGTTCTGCAGCCATAAAATAGTAATTATAATATTTAAGATAGAAATAAGTACCTTAAGGAAGTTCCAGATATTCTTCTCAATTGTATGCGAAGAGGTCTGTACTTTATTTTGGCAGTAGCCCAGGAGATTACCAGATAGCAAAGCTGCTTGTAGCTCACTTGACCGTGCCAAGAACTCCTTTTCAGTAGTCACCTGACTGATGTAGACCTGGCGAGTATTGGGTTCTTGAGTTGCTTGCACACTTATTTTAGGGTTGTCAAATGAAACCATTTTTCCTCCAAACTGGAAGAGAACACATGGGACTAGATAAGATAAAAACATATCTCCAACTCTTCTATAGTCAGTTTAAATGATCAGTTTGCCAAAAATCATACAGTGTGGATTAAGATAGGATCAATAAAAAAGGCAAATGCAACGAATGTCCAGGTTTCAGAAGAACTTTAAAGTGGCATGAAACCCAAAAGCATAACATTTATTACATTGCAGCTTAACAATTCTTAGATGTGATAGCTGCATTAAGCATCCCAAAGATTATGCAATTTCTTGTCTTCCACCACAGGTGGAAGGAAAGAAAACTGCTCGATTACCTCATCAACACCGATTCCCTCCTGCAGCACTATTGTGTTCTTCCCTGTCAGCAGAACACAATGATCACTGCTTGCAGCTATAGCCACCTGTAGTAAATCACACGCAAAAAAATCCGAAAGACTGGATCGACTTCAGTACAACCAGCCTGCCCATAGATGGATCGAATCTCGGCCAGTCCCTGCTGAACCGGCCAAAATTCAATCCATCTATAGCCGACTTTTCACACCTAACACTCCCTGTGGTCCAACATGCCCTTCCAAACACAGCTCTAATGAACATTACTGTCACCACTGAAGACGGGTCAGAGAGCTAGACTGCAGAGTGTGTGTGTGTGTACAGCAGTACAACTCATACTACTGCTAAATTTTAAATCCCTACTGCAGCTTATCAGATAAGTTAAAATTAAAGGGTGACTACACTTTCGTGGGGGAAAAAAAATTAGCAAGTAATAAAAAAATAATAATAATATCACGTGTACAATTGCGACTCATTGTAAATGAATGTTATTAAAAACTACCTTTCCTTTTCAATCTGCAGTGTTATAATCTTCTGTAAAATGCAATGCAATATGGATACCTGGAGGAGTTCTGTACACAAAGTGTGGTAAAATCAGTGAGCCAATCACACATGCAGGAAGTGATATTTCCAGAGGGCATTCTGTACAGAGGTCTGAATTAAGACACAAGTCAGATTTTTGGCAGCCTCTGCAACAAAGATATAATTTTTGGTGAGGTACGCCTAACCCCTGGTTCACATATTCACGTTCCTGTGGGCCGCTGTTTGCGCGGGCACGAGAGCCCATTCATCTGAATGGACTCCTGTGCCCCAGGACACGCAGTGAAGAAGTCCCTGCACTTCTTTGGAAAACGGTTCCCAGTACGGTTGCGATTTCCAGTGTGAGCGGTGTGCCATTAGAATTAATGGAACCCGCCTGTGGGTCCACATTCCTCTGTGTGGGTCGTGGTGCGGCTGCACAGATTTTTGTGCAGATCTGCAGTGGCACCACCCGCACAGAAGCAAACCTAGCCTAAAGGGAGATCAAGTCTAAAGAGATGCAGACCTTGCCAATTTCCTTATAAGAGTCCTGCAGGTGCAGCAGCTGCCACCAGTGATTTGGAAGCTAACAACCGATGCCAGCCTCTCGGATTGTAGGGCTGTTCTAGAAGGGATCACAGTCCAGGGCACGCTGTCACCGCAGAAAAAGATCCTTCCCATCAATATCCTGGAGCATCGGGCGGTGCCGGCTTGCCCTGAGATACTGGACGACCAGGCTTCATGGTTGGCCATTGGCCAGTAAAGGTTCAGTCCGAGAATGCTACAGCACAGGCATACATCAACCACCAAGGCGGTACCAAGAGCTGAACCAGACCTCACAATCTAGCTTCGGCAGAAGGGCATATTCAGTTCTGTCAGCAGTATTCATTCCAGGCATAGAAAATTGGCAGGCGGACTAACTCAGTCATTGGCTGTTTCCGGGGAATGGGCTCTGCATCCCGAGGTGTTCTTGGCAATCTGCCAGCGATGTGTGTTCCCGGACGTAGATCTATTGGCGTCCAGGTTCAACAGCAAGGTGGACAGGTTTGTGTCCAGGACGCGGGAACCTTTTGTGATAGGGGTAGATGCCTTGGTGATACCATAGTTACATAGTTAGTCTGGCTGAAAAAGACCAAAGTCCATCCAGTTCAACCAAAAGAAAAAAAAAAGTTACAATCCTATACCACAGTTGATCCAGAGGAAGGCAAAAACCCAGCAAAGCATGATCCAGTTTGCTCCTGCTGGGGAACAAATTCCTTCCTGATCCCCCAAGAGGCAATCAGATATTCCCTGAATCAACTTTACCTATAAAATGTTACTATCCAGTTATATTCTGTGTATCTTGGAAAGAATCCAGGCCTCTTTTAAAGCAATCCACAGAGCTGGCTAGAACTCTTGAGGGAGTCTATTCCACATTTTCACAACTCTTACTGTGAAGAAATCTTTTTGTATTTGGAGATTAAATCTCTTTTGCTCCAGACATAAAGAGTGCCCCCTTGTCCTCTGTGATGACCTCAGGGTGAATAACGCTACACCAAGTTCACTGTATGAACCACTGATGTATTTATACATGTTGATCATATCCCCCTTAATCTCCTCTTCTCAAAAGAGAATAAATTCAGCTCCTCGAATCTTCCCTCTGTGGAATCAGTTTTTCCTTATCTATGCCTTTCCCCCAATTCAGCTACTCTTGTGGCTATTACACAGGATTCAAGACGAGGTGCTTCCGGTGATATTAGTGGCACCAGCCTGGCCCAGGAGGTGTTGGTATGTGAACATAGCCAAGCTAGCAGTGGGCAATCCATGGCCTCTGCCAGATCAGTCAGACCTGCTGTCTCGGGGGCCTATCTTGCACCCAGCTTTACAGTCGCTGAATTTGACGGCATGGCTGTTGAGACCCAAATCTTAAAAGATAGGGGAGTGTCAGACTTCAAAGAATGTTGAATGCTAGGAAGCTGGTTTTCTAGGAACATTTATTATAGAACTTGGAAGGCATATATTTCTTGGTGTGAAGGTCAAAAAATGGCAACCCCGCAATTATTTGAGTGGGAGAATTTTGTCTTTTCCCGATCAGGAGTAGAAAAGAAGTTGGCTGTTGGTCAGGGTCAGGTTTCAGCCTTGGCTGTTTTCTTCCAAAGACCAATTGCTTCTCACTCTTTGGTTCATACTTTTTTTTTATAGGGAGTGATGCATACTGTTCCTCCTGACAGACAGCCCCTGTGTCCTTGGGACTTGAACTTGGTCTTGGCAGTTTTACAGGACCCACCATTTGAACCTATCAGGGAAATTCCTTTAGTTCTGCTAACTCGGAAGGTGATGTCACTTCCAGTTTCAGATGCGCCATTTCTTGGCTAGTACAGCCAGGGGACATATCTGACCAAGCTGATCTGTGCTTGGTTAGAAGATGTGAAGGGCAGGGGAGACATTGCGGTCTACTAAGACCCCTAATGTCTCCATAAAGAGTACCTGTCACCTGCCCAATACTAGCACATAGGGGTTTATTAACCCCTTGTGACAGCAATCAAGTAATAAAGCAAAAAAAATAATATATATAATAAAATACACTCACCGGCCAGTTTATTAGGTACACCTTGCACTGCCTTGTAAGAAAATGGGGACACTATGATCTTCACTACTGTCCTCAATAAGCCTCCTGTGTTCCCCAAAAAAGGCCCACGTACAGCAGACCACAAGGGTGGGCCGTGAGGGCCCGTTTTGGGGAATATCTCCAGACATTTTCTTACAAAATACAGCACGTCCACAGAGGGCTCAGGGTTTTGGTGGTGGAATCCATCTCTCCCTGTGATTCCCTGGCCGAGAGGTTCCAGAGACTCTGCAGGAGGGAGACTTTTTGGATTTTCACTCTCAATACTCTGGCAACCAAGGGACTCAACAAAGAGCTTGAAATCAACACCATTATTTAGCCTTTATGCATTACGTCCTACTGTATTCCCTTTAGATTATGCTACATAATATATTAGACTTCTATTAGGGAGGACATGGGATGTTATTATAATACAGGATTTATATAGAGCCAACAGTTTGCACAGAGCTTTACAAAATTAAGGTAGACATTATAGTTACAATACAATTTGGTACAAAAGGAAACAGAGGGCCCTGCTCGTTAGAGCTTACAATCTAGGAGGATTGTGTGTGTGTGTTTTTAAAAATTGCCAGGAGTATATCTACATGCGTATACACATATATATATATATTTTTTATATGCCTTTTTACATCTGCCCACTGGTAGTATGAGAGGTTCTCATGAAAAACCACGTGTTTTTATGTGGTTTTTCCATATACACATCTTTGTGTCTTTTTATCCATAATATTATTTATTATTATACCATTGTCCTATTAACTTGTGCAGCTTTTCTTATTGCCATTATTCAGTGTACTGTATTTTTGTTCTCCCGTGTGGAGGAGACTTTGCAGTTGTACGGCCTCTCATTGTTATACTTTCCCTGATGATCCCGTTCGATCATTGCACAGCTCAGCCTTCTCAGCTATTCACGTTGTTTGGCTAGCCCCACCCACTGTCCCGTTTTTGATTGCTTCCTTGGTCGGGTACACGGCCTATAAATTCTCCTTCTTCCCCCTGGGTGGACCATTTTGATAAAGGAGGCGGAGCCTCGGAAACGTGTCACTGCCCACCCATCTATCACTCATCAGTGCCGGTCATACTTGTGTCTGTTGGTGGTAGTAGAGGGGAGTGTCGCTGCCGGCATCCATCCATGAGTGGATCCTAGTCTGTGCCTCACAGCTGATTACAGTCCACACCCACGAGCGGACCCCTGAGTCTCACAGTTGATGTCCATTCATCCTTATGGGAGAGAGCTGTATTTGCACACCATCTTGATCTATTGAGCTGTTCACAGGGTGCTCTGATGTAAGTGTGCTACACTAAAGTTGTTGTTTTTATCACACATTCACCTGGCACCCTGGTCTTTTCTTTTGCATGCCCATGAGGGATTCCCCATATCCCTGACAAGGTGAAGCCGGAATTGTTTGCGTTTCACTCCATAGTGATCCAGCTGCCCCACTCTGATGCGGATCCATTTGTGGACTATAACATATTTTGCACGGTTTATATTTATTTATACAATTTTTATTTTCATTTATACCGGTTTTGTTCCCATTGT